TAGCTGGCCACCTCTCCTAAGAGCGTGTTCTTTTGGGCCAGCCTGCCTCCACTCACGAGGAAGTCGAGCCTGTGGATGTGGCTCTTCTCTGACGCGCGTATGGGAACGAGACCTTCTGGTGTTCTCATCAGAAGAAGCTGCCGAAGCAGCAGGGGCGGCACCCGGTGGAGGTGCCTGAGGAGGCTCCTGTGCGATCCCAGATGGATCGTCCGATGGAGGCAGGTCTCCCTGCTGGGTGGAGCTCGGCGCAAATGGTGCTTGTGCCGATGGTGATGATGATTCAGACTCGTCAGGATCGAAGTCAACCTCTTCCTCACAATTCACGTCCATCCTGAGGATGGTGACGTCATCCTCATCTAACCCGCAACCATCGCCTTCTACTTCTTCTGATGTCGAACTACCGATGATGATGGCCATTGGCGTATCTGGTACAGGCAGGTTTCCCTGCATAGCCGGCGTCTGTGCGTCGCTCGGCTGTCCCGGAGTAGGAGGCACTGTTGTCGGCTCAGGCTCGTTGCCGAGCACAGGCTGCCCAGCAATGTTACGCATGGCCGTATGGGTTGGCCTCATTCCCACCGCCTGGAGACCCCATCCTGGCGGAGGAAGATCACGACCGCGCATAGCAATAGCCATTTCTAGAGCATTACGCCATCTACCACGGGAGTATATCAAGTGTCTCTGCACGTCCTGAGGATGCACGCTGTCAACGAGAGTCAGAGCTGCCAACAACAGCTCTGAGCTACCACAAGCATCAGTATCCTGTTCTATCATAATGTCAGCTTCGATATGTTCTTGACTCTCAGGATCACCAGTAATAAGTATCTCATGCATCCTCATGAGGGTCTGCAAAAGGGTGCGTGGTCCATATTCGCCTGGAGCAAGCGAACCAGGAGGTATGAACGGAGTATCTGGTTCGCCTGCAATGAAGGCCTGAACAAATGCCTGAGACTCCATTTCAATTAAGTCTTCAGTGGTCTGGGGATATGCCCCCGTCAAAGACGGCCTGTTTCCAGGCGGGATTTCGGGCGGAGGTTCGAGGTTCCGTTGAACCTCGGAAGGCGAAGCCTCTATAGTGGTGTCCTCGTCGTCGCTCTCGCAGGCCATGATGTTGCCTGGGTCCCCGAACATCCAGTCGAAGAAAGAAAGAAGCTGGTTTCCCAGCGCACCGTGGTCCACGGGAGTGAGCTCGTTATTGCCCATAACGAACCGGCGGACGTACTCGAGGTAGTACGCGTACAATCCATGACCATACGCCTCGAGCTCGTCGACGTCGCCCACGCCAACAACCCAAGTGAAAAATATCTGTTCCATAGCCTCAAAGTCCTGGAGGCTCAGATACTCAATCGATGGTTCACTTGAGCCAAAATGGACTTCGGTCGACCTGCCCTTTCCATTTCCCTTCACTGGACAATCTCGCACAAGATGATCGGAACGACCACATTCATGGCATTTAAGAACCTGGCCGTCTCTACCTCGCGGGTTTCCCCGCCTACCTCTGCCTTTTCCTGAGGTCTCTCCACGGCCTTTACCACGGCCTTGTCCCCCAAAGAATATCTCATCATGTTGTTCATCTGAGAGCCTCTGGAGAAATGCCGCGATGCCTCGTCCGTTCAACCTCCGACGACCTCGCGTGCCTTTACCCTTTCCTTTAAAACTTCTACGTATCCTCCTTCTAACACGACGCACTGGTTTTCGTGTGAATCTCCTCCACCTTCGTTTAGCCTGTTGTAATAACCAGAACAAATGCTCAGCACGCTGATTGTCGTTATCCATATTCATAATATCTGACCAATCTAAAGCTTCAGCACCATCTGATGATATAGTGTCTGCATCGGTGCCGGAGTCGAAATCCTCGTCTCCCAAGTAGGTGGATACACCGTCGGTTACGGGGTTTGATCCCCCCCATAAAGAACGGTGTGGTTGTGGTTCTCTAGAAGGAGGGCTGGTTGCCCAGCTTGGTTGTGATCGATCCCCTGCTAATAACGCAGTGGATTCACCTGGGTCATCGGCCCATATGCTTGAAGGCCCGTTTCCAGGCTGGGCTTCAGTAGTCAAGGTAGTGTAGAAATTTCCACTACCAGATCCCCTTCCCCTTCCAAACACAGATCCCATGTTACCAGGAGACCGTTCGGATAGGTGGCCTATCGAACGCATCCTCTCCAGCAACTCATCATACTGTTGTTGTGTTCGGGGCATCTGGTGATTGAGTGGCTGTAAGAGTTGCATGGCTCGCTGGTTGCCGACGCCTAAGGCGCGGAATAGGATAGTGGTTAGCAGTTGGAAGTTGGGAAGGTCGAATCCCACCGAATGTGCCTCAAGTCGGGCCATTTCGAATCGGGTAAGGGTGACATCGATTCGTTCCCCGTGAGGCACGTGGAAGTCGATGAGTTGTGTGCCGGAAGTGAGCTGTCGCTCATCTTCCAGGCGTTCGAACTTCATGCTTAGGAGGAACATGTTGTAGGTCACTGGGTCTGTGTGGACCCCATCGATGTCAGCACCATAGTTTATAATGTCAGGCGGTACCCTCATGGCGAGTGTCCTCGCTAGGCCACCTAGGCCGCGTTGTATTGCGGCCGCTTGGGCCTGTGGCGTCATACGTCCGCTTGTAACGTTGCGCCATGCGTTGACCTCGTAAATGTACTCACGAAAAGGTACATTACCTTGAGGGCCCCAATATGGGCCATGTGTTTGCCCATCGGTGCTGTTTTCTCCACGACGCATGTGTCCGATTGCTGCCCCCAGCGCGAACCATATAATAGCGAAAACGACTAGCCCGAGAATGTGTAACGAAGGATGGTTATGATGCGCGTTGTCGCGCTGGGGTAGCGCCTTGTCGAGTCTTCGAGGCGCTCTGTCTGGCGGGTCTCCCCGCCCCTGCTTCAAGTATTGCGCTGTTAGCTCGTTGCCGAGCGGTTGGTGGTAACGCAATGATGAAGCGTATATGGTACCAGTCTGGTCGTCTAGACGTCGTACCTCTCGTGTTGCTTCTTGCTATTGGATAGATCCTCGTAAACGTACTGGGAGTGGTGGCGCAGGGTGGTAGGTGGCCACGAAGATCGCGCCGAAGAATATGAGGCTAAGAAGAGCAAGAGCTGACCACACGAGAGTGCGGCCAGCTCCGCTACCAAGTCGAAAGTGAGCCTGGTAGCTCAAATATGGCATATAGCCTGGCAACTTGCGTCCATCGCTCTGCTGTGAAGGTACAGTATGAGGGGTGGACGGATAAGATAGGATAAGATCGATGTAATGATCTTTCCAGCACATAGCGAACACTCGCGGTGTCCGGGCAAATAGCGAATACCATCAGGTATCCGGGCAAATCGGGCGCGCGTGCCTTGAGCCAAAGGCAACGGCGCGCGCGAGCTATGCTCCCGATACTATAACATATCCCAAAGACCTACCCTTAAAGTCAAATTCCCAGTTGCTACGATTGGTACTGATGTAGCGGGATGGCCGTGCAGCTGCGATCGCCACAAGGCGCGTTGACACCGCAGTGCGCGCTCTCATCACGCATGATGATGCAGCAACCTACGCATGCACCGCATCGCCTGTGTACATCACAACGACTGGGTGCATGGCAATGCCCCTGTGCACCACAGCGTTTGTGTACACAACTGCAAACGCGCGCGCCACAACGCCTTAGCACAACACAGCGGCAAATGCAGAAGCACGTGCCACGTGCACCACGGCGCTTGCGCACAACACGACCCGCACGCACACCACAGCAGCCGCGCGCAACGTGACGATTGGCGCCCGCGTGCACCACAATGCATACGTGCACCACCGAAACCGCGTACACTTCGAAGGTCCCGACAAAGCCCATCAACCGAAACTCGTGTTCGTGAGAGGGGCGCGAAGTTGATTGTGATTACTGTTGTTTGGCCGCTTGACAACCGACCGCTCTGACAAGTTTTCTGGGCTGCGTGCGGCGGCGGCGACGAAGATCCCTCTACAGGGGGAGGACCCTACGAAAATCCCTCCACAAAAGGAAGGCCCTTGGCGCCTCGAGTTCCCTTGCGCCTCGGCTTCGTCCGAGAAAGGGTTGACCCAAGAAACCCCAAAAAAGGGTCCCGACGCTGCTCAAGACGGCCCCGAGACGGCCGAAGCAACACCCAAAACTGCCCCCCAAGGGGCCCCCAACGGGGGGGGACCACCAAGCGACCGTTCGAGCCGTCCGCCCAAAGACGCCCCTAAGAGGCCCCAATATGCGCCCATGAGGGTGCCCAAGAGGGCCCAAGAGGCTCAAATCCCTCCCTTCCCCTCATTGCCCCCCGCATCTGCCCGTCGTCCTCCTCGTCCTCCTCGTCCTCCTCGTCCGCCTCGTCGTCCTCGCCCTCGTTCTCCTGCTCCTCCCCCTCCTCCCCCTCCTCCTCCTCCTCCTCCTCCTCCTCCTCCTCCTCCTCCTCCTCCTCCTCCTCCTCTTCCTCCTCCTCCTCCTCCCTCCTCCTCCTCCTCCTCCTCCTCCTCCTCCTCCTCCTCATCATCATCATCATCAGCAGCAGCAGCATCATCACCATCACCATCACCATCACCAGCAGCATCATCACCATCATCATCAGCAGCAGCATCATCATCCTCATCATCATCCCCTCCAGCCTCATCATAATGATAATGTTAATGATTAGACCAGAAATAATACGAATACTGATAATGATAATAATAATAATAATGGTAATAATAATAATAACAACAATAATAATCATAATAATAATAAAGATAAGCATCATCACCATCATCATCACCAGCATCATCATCATCATCATCATCATCATCATCATCATCATCATCATCATCATCATCATCATCATCATCATCATCATCATCATCATCATCATCATCATCATCATCATCATCATCATCATCATCATCATAATCATCATCATCATCATCATCATCATCATCATCATCATCATCATCATCATCCTTTCCCCCCCCACCCACCCCTCCTCCCTTCCTCCGGTCCTTCCCAATAGCCTGGTCACTGCCGGGTCACAGGGTGGTCACTGCTCCGTGCTCGGCGCGGTGGTAGTACGGGAATTGTTCCAAGAAGTTGCGGTACACCAACGTCACCGGCGTACCGCTCGCCACGCAGCAGCCCACGAGGAATAACAAGCTCTGCGCAACCCTGTGCCTGCGTACGGATGCACCCCCGTGCCCGTGTGCGCCGCCAGCATGTGCATCACAGTGCCCGCGTTCACCACAAAGCCCGCGTACACCGCCAAATGCCCGACGGTGTCAAACTCCAACAGACCATTGCTGGCCCGAACGAGTAAAATTCAAAATGCGAACTGTTTGAGTCTATTGTACTCTGGCCACGGGCACGGGCACGGCCCCTAACCCCCGTTGCCTGCGCGCGCAACAGGATCATTGTTTACCACAATGCTAGACACAGCCACGCCTGTGTGCACCACAACTGCACACGAGGCCCACGTGGGCGCCATACACACCGAACTGTTTGTCTTTTCTTATGTGAATGCGCCGCCGCGCCTGTGTGTGTGTGTGTGACAGCCTGCGCTCACCACGCTCCCCTACACACCACAAGCACATGCCTGCGCACACTGCAAACACGTTGCGCGCGCACTACGAACATAATCCCAGTGCGATACGTAAGCAACAGGCGTTGCTGCAACGGGGGTGGGTGGGGCGGCGCACGTTTTGTTTTCTACTGGGTGGGTGGGTGGGCTGGAGGCCAAATAACGCGCGCTACGTGCAGAAAACTCCAGCTCTTGCAGCGATCGGTACCCGCCCTCGTCGAGGCAGCACCCAAGACGCCCCCTGACTGCAAAATCTGCGCATAGGCCTCCCCTCTGGGGGCCCGGCCGTGGCTGCGTAGCTGCTGGGCGAGCTCAGGTCGCTGGCGGCCTGAAACCTGGAAGGCCTACGGCTGGGGGGGCCAAAAGGTACCCACACCGCTGATCCCTGAACCTCCCCCGCGGCGTGCTCTGAACCAAAACTTCGAGGCGCCTCCAGCCGTGGCGACGAGGGACCCCCAAGAGACCCCAAAAAGGGCGGAAACGAGGCAAGGGCAGCGGTATCCGTGTCGGTGACCCATCGGTCGGAAGAAGTGGGTAGAAACATGAAGTAGGAAGGCGCTGCAAATAGATTGGGGTCCGTCCGCAAGGAGGACGGAAAAGGTGAAGCCACTCGATCATTGAAGTATGAAGGCGGTAAAAGTGTATGGGAATCAGGGAATCCAAAAATCCGCCGACCCTGTCGGCGCGTGTGAGGGGCTTCTCCGTTCGACTCGTCGTCTCCGTCGTCTCCGTTCTCCCCTTCCCAGGGCTCTCCTCCTCAAGCGCGCCATCCAAAGCGAAATCAAACGATGTCGTAGTGGAGTCGAAGGGAAGCCCCATCCCTTTGATCCCTTCCCCGCAGGGGGGGGGAGGGGGGGGGCCCGGGGCAGATACGACGCCCGCAGGGGCGCACTTTCCTTGAGCGGGCACGCACGGGATGCACTTCCTCCTCCTCCTCCCCCTCCTGGTCCTCCTCCTCCTCCTTTTCCTTTTCTTCCTCCTCCTCCTCCTCCTCCTCCTCCTCCCGCAGAAGCGTCCCGGGAGCGGGCCCCGAGTTAAAAAATACCACCCCCGTAGGGCGCATTTTCCTCGAGCGGGCACGCCCGAGATGCACTTCTTCCCCTTCGGGGAACACGTCCCAAGTCAGAATATCACACTCCTGGGGCGCACTTTCTTCGAGCGGGCACACAAAGGATGCACTTCTTCCTCCTCCTCCTCCTCCTCCTCCTCCTCCTCCTCCTCCTCCTCCTCCTCCTCCTATTCCTCCTCCTCCTCCCCTCCTCGCTGCCTCCTCCTCCTCCTCCCCCCTCCTCCTCCCTCCTCCTCCATCCTCCCTCCTCCTCCTCCTCCTCCTCCTCCTCTCTCCTCCTCCCTCCTCCTCCCCATCCTCCCATCCATCATCTCCTCATCATCATCATCATCATCATCATCATCATCATCATCATCATCATCATCATATCATCATCAGCATCATCATCATCATCATCATCATCATCATCATCATCATCATCCTGCTCCTCCTTCTCCTCCTCCTCCTCCTCCTCCGCTTCCTCCCCCCACTCCTAGCCCTTTCGATCAGGGTCGGCGGCACCGGCCGTCAGGCCTCTCCAATACGTGCTTTCAACGACCAATGGGTACCTTTCCCTCCTCTGGATGGTGGCGTCGCCGCCGCGTCGACACACGGACCCGCCGTCGACGCAGGGCCTGACGAGCACGACACCGGTGTTGACGTCGCCGCTCTGCGGGGAGCGGAAGCCCCTGCTGCAGGAGCCCCACTCCTGCGGGCGGGCCCGCCCCCCGCGCCCTCATCCTGGCCGAGAGGATCTGCCTACCTTCCTCCTCGTCCTCGTCCTCCCCCCTTTCCTCTTCCCCTCCTCCCTCTTCCTCCTCCTCCTCCTCCTCCCTCCTCCTCCTCCTCCTCCTCCTCCCTCCTCCCTTCCTCCTCCTTCTCCTTCTCTTTGTCTCTCTCCTCCTCCTCCTCTCCCTTCCTCCTTCCCCTCCTGTCCTCCTCCTCCTCCCTCCTCCTCCTCCTCTCCTCCTCTCCTCCCCTCCTCCTTCTCCTTCTCCTCCTCCTCCTCCTCCTCCTCCTCCTCCTCCTCCGCCACCGTGCCCCGTGGCACGCTGGCTGGGCCGTGCTGGAAAATGCCAGGTGGTGCCTGGAAGGGTTCTATAATCTTCTAGGGCCCCCCCCCGTCGCTACTGGCGCTGGCCCGCATGCATCGCCCCCTCTCCCGGGGACACAACCCCTCGCAAAATACCAATTACGTAGCACCCCGCAGATGCGGATAAGAGTGAGGGGGCGGCGGGGACGTCGGCAGTTTGCGAGACTCTGGAGAAGCCCGCCGCAGGCGGCCGAAGTTTAACAAATTATACACCGAGCCCGCCGCAGGCGCCGATTGTTTCGTTAAACCGCCGTGGGTAGGTCGCGGGTGGGTCGCGAGTGGGTCGCAAATGGGTCGTGGGTGGGTCGCGGGTGGGTCGCTGTTGGGTCGCGGGTGGATCGCGGGTGGGTCGTGGTCGCGGTGGTGGGTCGCGGGTGGGTCGTGGGTGGGTCGCGGGAGGATCGCGGGGTGGGTCGCGAGTGGGTCGCGGTGTGGGTCGCGGGTGGGTCGCGGGGTGGGTCGCGGATGTGTCGCTGGTGGGTCGCGGGTGGGTCGCGGGGTGGGTCGCGAGGTGGGTCGCGAGTTGGCTCACGGGTGGGTCGCGGGGAGGGTCGCGGGGTGGGTCGCGGGGTGGGTCGCGGGGTGGGTCGCGGGTGTGTCGCCGGTGGGACGACAACAACAAACAACAGCAACAACAACAACAACACAACAACAACAACAACAACAACAACAACAACAACCACAACCACAACCACAACCACAACCACAACCACAACTACAACAACAACAACAACGACAATAACAACAACAACAACAACAACAACAACAACAACAACAACAACACCAACAACAACAACAACAACAACAACCACAACAACAACAACAACAACAACAACAACAACAACAACGCAACAAGCACAATCCTCATCACGGATCCCCACTTCAGCCACGCACCCAGGGACAATGGATGACCGTTCGACCCCCTAACTCTGACCAATGCGCGCTCGCGAGACGAGGATGCCTCCAAGACAGCCCCAACACTCCCCAAGACGGCCTCAAAAGGCCCCAAGACCGCCAAAGAGTGCCCCCAGGGACCCCCAAGGCTGCCTCACAGGAGGCCAAGACAGCCACAAGACGGTCCAAACGAGTTCCATGTGGCGGCCTTCCCCTTCATCCTTTACATCCCGTTCCTCCTCCTCCTCCTCCTCATCCTCCTCCTCCTCCTCCTCCTCCTTCTCCTCCTCCTCCTCCTCCTCCTCCTCCTCCTCCTCCTCTTCCTCATCGTCCTCATCCTCCTCCTCCTCCTCCTCCTTCTCCCCCTCGTTCTCCTCCTCCTCCTCCTCCTCCTTCTGCTCCTCCTCCTCCTCCTTTTCCTCATCGTCCTCCTCCTCCTCGTCCTCCTTCACCTCATCCTCATCATCATCGTAATCCTCATCCCAATCCTCATCACCATCATCATCACCACCCCCGTAGTCATCATCCTCATCGTAATCCTCAACCCCATCCTCATCATCACCGCCACAACCACAATCATGATCATGATCAGAATCATCAGCATCATCAGAATGATCATCATCAGCAGCACCATCGTCATCATCATCAGCATCATCCGCATCATCATCAGCATCGTCGTCATCAGCATCATCATCATAGTCAGCAGCATCAGCAGCATCATCATCAGCAGCAACATCATCAACATTCCTCAGAATCACCATCACCACCACACCATCGTCATCAGCAGCAGCGTAATCAGCAGCAGCATCATCATCGTCATCAGCATCATCATCATCAGCATCATCCGCATCATCATCATTAGCAGCAGCATGATAATCGTCAACCTCATCAGCATCATCCTCATGAGTATCAGCATCCACATCAGCATCAGCAGCAGCATCATAGTCATACTCATCAGCACCAACAGCAGCAGCATAATCATCATCAACATCATCATCACCGTCGGCATCATCAGCATCGACATCATCATGAGTAGCAGCAGCACCATCATCATCATCATCATCATCATCATCATCATCATCATCATCAGCATCATCATCATCATCATCATCATCATCATCATCATCATCAGCAGCAGCATCATCATCATCATCATCATCATCATCATCATCATCATCATCATCATCATCATCATCATCAGCATCATCATCATCGTTAGAATCGTCATCGTCATCAGCATAATCATCATCAGCATCATCATCATCAGCAGCAGCAGCATCAGCATCAGCATCAGCATCAGCAGCATCATCATACTCCTCGTCCGCCTCATCTTCCTCATCCTTATCCTCCTCCTCCTCATCATCAGCAGCATGAGCATCATCATCGTCATCGGCGTCGTTGTCGTCATCATCGTCGTCATCGATACCACCACCAGCATCATCGTCATCATCATCAGCATCATCTTATCATCATCACCATCATCATCACCATCCATCAGCATGATCAGTATCATCACCATCACCATCATCATCATCATCACCACCAGCAGCATCAGCATCAACACCGTCCGCCTCCTCAACATCATCAGAATCATCATCATCCTCATCATCAGCATCAGCAGCAGCATTAGCATCATCAGCAGCAGGATAAGCATCATCATCATCATCAGCAGCATCATCCCCGTCATCTTAAGAAACGTCATCGTCGTCATCGTCATCCTCACGACGAGAATCAGCATCATCAACATCACCAGCATCATCATAAAAAATAGCGTCAACGTCATCAGCATCATCATCATCATCATCATCATCATCATCATCACCATAAGCGTCATCATCACCAGCATAATCGTCAGCAGCACCATTATATCATCGCTACCATCACTATCAGCATACATATCATCCTGATCATCGTCGTCATCATCATCGTCATCACAATCACCATCACCATCACCATCAGCATAATGATCTCATCAACATCCTCATGCCCATCGTAATCGCCGTCGTCGTCGTTGCCGTCGTCGTCGTTAACGTCATCGTCGTCATGAGAATCATCATCATCGTCGTCATGATCATCATCGTTCTCATCCTCCTCCTTTTCATCATCACCACCACCACCACCACCACCACCGCCATCATCATCAGAATCATCATCAACATCACGGTCATCATCATCAGCAGCAGCATCATCATCATCATCACGGTTCCCCCAAGCCTGGGGACACGAGATGTTACATATGACGGCCTCCCACGACCCCTCGAACAGTCGCCACCCAGAACGCTGGGCTGGCACGGCGGCGGAACTTGCCGCAGGCAGCGGGATAAACACAGACACCCCCCAGTGAACTGTTCGTGGCCCTCATGAGAGGGCAGCGGAGTGCAAATCGCTTCTGAGGGCTGCAAAACGACGCCCTCCCTGAAGGCACGTGGAAGACTGGTCGGCGGGCGCGTGTAAAAAGATTGTCTCGACGTCGTGGAAGAGCAGGACCAGCCGACGTCTTGGGGGGGCAGCCCCAGACCCCCGGGCGTCGCAAGTGCAACCCCGAGCATGCCCGTAGCCACTGGGGAGCGTTCTCTTCTTCGGCGTTTCGACATTGGGCGGAAGGGGGGGGGGGAGGGGGGGGTCTGGCTCCGGACCTCTGCTGAGTGCGACTGTTTGCAACAGTGCGTCATATGGGGGAGGGACTCCACCTGCTCGAAACAGGCGCCAAAAACAGCCAAGCTCTACTCCATGGGGGGGGGGGGGGGGAGCGAGGGCCCGCGCCGATCGGCAAAACAATGAATAAAAAACGATTACCTGCCACGGGGTGATGTCTCGGGGACTCGAAGGAGCGGTGGATATGGGTATCTGCCCGCCCATGCGGGCTGGGAGACATCCCTATCCACAACTCCTCGAGATCCCAGGACACGGCTCCGACGCGGTGGACGTGGACGTGCTCTGGCGTTGGACAACTGAAGACACGGCGGGCCTGTCTTTCGCCGGCTTCTGGGGCCCCGGGGGCCGCTACCAGGTCGCGGTCCCGGCACATCGAAAGCACCTCAGCGCGAGAGAAGCCCGCCCCCGGGGATGGGGTCGGCGGTTCCGGGGACGCGCGTCGTGAAGAGAAATGGCAAGACGACTCGAGGGGCCCGGGGACACACACACAAAAAAAAAAAAACGCACTCCTCCCAGGAGCTCCCACCAGTTCCCACACGCCCTGGGCCCTCGCCTTCCCCCCCCCCACACCTCGACGACCGACTGCGCCTCTGCGCTTCTGCCCCCCCCCTTTTGGTGACGACGTCGGAGCCACGGCGCGGCCGGCGAGCGGCGCGGCCACGCCCGGCACGCCGGCGGGCTCGGGCGGGGGGGGCCCCCCGCAGGGGCAGGGCGGGGGGGGGGCAGATCCCGCCCCCCCCCCCCTCGGCTCCGCAGGGGTGCTCCGCGGCCCGCCCCGCGCGAGGCGCGCTCGCGGCGCGTCGGAGAGGGGGCGCACGCCGTGCCTCGCCAGCCGGCCACGCGGAGTGCGCTCGGAGCGCGCGCGGAGCGGACAGGGAGAGAGAGAGAGAGAGAGAGAGTCTGCTGCTTAGAAACTGATCGGATCGCTTCTCTGGAATCGGAGCGCGAAATTCGCGGTCGCCTCGGAGCACACCTGTGAGCACGACCTGGGGTGTGTCCGAACTCCTCTGGAGGGAGAGAGGCAGGCGAGGCCCGGGCGAGGGAGGAGGGAGGAGGGAGGAGGGAGC